GATTCAGTTAAGCTCTCTATTAACGCTTAGCCGAGATGTTAGAGCGGGTATGGAGATTCGACGCTCGGAATAATAGCCGCTCTGGATTGCCTCGCCATTTAGGCTGTTGGGTAAATGCGCAAACCTCTGATGTCCGGGTCAACTCTACGAGATCAGATGTCTCTGCCGGTTTATAGGTGAGTTTGCAGCATCAAGAAATCTTCTCCATAAGCCAGTCTGAGAAGGGAGGCAGGTGCGTACATGGCATACCAAAACGACGGACCGCTAGGCATTGTGTTGAGGTGCTGCGTGTCGATACATGACAGAGCCAGGTACTGTTGGGCGATAAGAGGTAGCTGGACAGGATGCTCGTGTCAAGCATCGCTAGGGGGGGGTTGTTATAGAGAGTGTTCTTGGGTTATAAAGGACGTTTGTAACTGGATAATAGTTTAAGACCAGTTGATAAGAAACAGTGACCCAACTATCGGATACTTGCGGCATCCTTTGTTCTCTATTATCAGCGCCACAGGCGTCCTGCCTCATAGATGTTACCTTACTCGGGCGCAGGTTTTAACAGTATACTTAGTATATATATACGTCGTAATTAGAATTATTACCTGAGGCTATTCTTATAGATTGTATGTTATTTACCTTTTGGCAAGAGAAAACTTTGCCGGAGGGGACTGAAAAGGGGCCTCTAAGACTGCGGTGGCGGCGTACTTACAGGATTACCCCCAACTCAGGGAAGAATCAGGCGGAACTTAGGACAAATCAGCTATCGCTCACCCCGCTCACCCTAGTTTAGAATGACGAACGAAAAAGGAAATTTCGTGTGCCCAGACTCGTCGCAGACAACCAGGCTGTTTCTCCCTGTCGTCTGCATGGTTAGTTTCGAACGTGCTGCCTTGCACCGCCTGCTTCGGCCACAACCTTTTCAAAGAAATGGGGGTCCCTTGACTACCCCATTGCTATAGCTTGTGGAAGAGTGTGTCCAATCATATCAAGTTCAACTGAAATACTGGCGAGGCTAGACAAAAGTTGGGGCGGTGGAGAAAGTAGAGGATGATCCGATGGAGCTTCAGATAAGATGCGCTAAGCCAGCTGCTGGGATCAGTTACGTCTCGGTCATGCCATGTCAAGAGAGATGGAGAATCAAGACACCAGCATCTCGAAGGACTGCCAGTCCCCGAAAGCACGCCACAGACAGCCGAAAGCTTTGACATACGAACAACCCCGACCTCGTGATGTCTGTCGGCGTGGGATGCCAGCAATTTTCAAACCCCGTGATGGCTTCCGGACGAGATTCAACTTCATCCCCATGCCTCTCCATGACTCAACCAGCTTCGAGCGATACAGCGTTGACGGACAGAGGGACGAGGAGAGCATCTCTTGGATATAAAACCACGGCACCCCGCCCTTGGCTCTCCGTCCTCGAATCTCTCACCAACCCCCAACACAGCAGCGAGCACAGCAGCCATTGATGCCACAGCATCAGCCTCCAGTTTTTCAGTCTCGCATCACCATCACTCGATATACGCTACGCCTCCGGCCAATGGCCGGAGGTTTCTATACCTCGTTGTCACCGCCCTCTCCGTAGCCGTGACTGCGGCGGGCAGCGACCTCTAACGCCCCCCTGATGTCGAAAAGAACGCCCCTGGCCAACGCCCCTCGGTGCTCTGGTCTCTCGACTCCACATCAAAGACCAAGCTGACAAGCTCCCAGACCTCGATCCCCGCTGCTTCCTTGTCCGGTCACCCGATCTTGACCGCTCTTTTAGCACATGGTCACACTCCCGCGACACACTTCACCGGCACCTTGCTCTCCGTCTTTCCCCTTGGTGGATCCGCTCCGTCCGCCTTCCGCCAGTCTGGCTTGATTGACGAGTCTCTCGGCAATGCGAGATTCCGCGGCACGGCTGTGACTTTGTCTTCTCTGCCGCCAACACCGACGCCCAGCGGTCAGGATTACAGATATGATGAGATTGACTAAGTTCGTCGAGATCGGAGCGTCGCCGAATATGACAGAATGGTTGAAGAGGCGCGACAGCAGGCTCCTAATGATTACTATGGCTCCTCGCCCGAGTATTCTGACTCGGGCAGCCCCGACTCTTACTGCGCGGGGACCAGCTACAACGCTCCAGACAACAACTACAACGCTCGCCATTATCTCGACCTTACGTAACCTTCGTTTCCACCACTGTTAACAACCCCGCGTCGTACTGCCTTGCAGTCTAACTTACCTTGAGTGTAGTTACAGCAGAAATGTCCTACTTAAGCGATATGGGTCAACTTACAGGAATAATCTAACGCCGGGTATAGCGTTATAAAAAACTTTTGGGTTCGATTAGACTTCTACCATAAGTCGGAGGGGGGGTTCCTGCACACCCCCTGTTCCTGCACAGGCCACCGCGTACCCCGGCTACGCGTCACCCCCAGTTATATTTTGACCTACCTCCTTCAATTCTTCTCCGAATTTCTTCAACTTTCCAGCAATCTTTTCTTCAATCAATGGAGCAACAGTATACCGAATCTGACATGCGCAACGCATGTCGGGAATACGCCAAAACCGGCCTATTGCGCGCAACTGCTCGAAATTGGGCAATTCCTCCCTCTACCCTACGCCTACGCCTTAATGGCGCCCTACCTCGTTCAATCGCCTACCAGGATTACCAACGCCTTTCTGTAACCCAGGAGCGCCATCTAGCCGATTGGATACGCGTACAACAAGCTTTAGGGGTCCCTCCTACGCATACGCAGATCAGAGAGATGGCCAACCGTGTGTGCCTCGAGAGGGGGGACAAGGATAAGCTGGGTATTTCTTGGATGGAAGGCTTTTTAAGGAGGCACCCCTATCTCAAGACCCAGAGGGCCAGGGTAGTCGACGCAGACCGCATTCACTATGCCACAGAAGCTACGATTCGGCCTTGGTTCAACCTATTCCAGATACCTGAGGTTAAGGCCATCTTACCTGAGAATCGCTGGAATAAGGACGAAGCCGGTATTATAGAGGGCCGTGGGGAGAATGGCTTGGTCGTTGGTACGGCTGATCACAAGGCCCTACAAAAGAAACAACCAGGTGGTCGTACCTGGACGTCATTTATCGAGTATATCTCAGCTACCGGCCGGTTTCTTCTTCCCCTCGTTATTTTCAGGGGTAAGACGGTTCAACAACAGTGGTTTCCAACGGATTTACGGCCTTTCAAGGATTGGAAGTTTACAGCAACGCCAAAGGGCTGGACCGATGACGAAACTGGGCTTAAATGGCTGAAGAACGTATTCATACCCCTAACCAAGCCGGCCTCCCCTACCCAGAAGCGCCTCCTCGTTCTTGACGGTCACGGTAGCCACGTAACGGCGGAATATATGTACGAGGCCTATATCAATAACATCTACATCATTTATTTACCTACCCACACCTCCCACGTCCTCCAGCCTTTAGATCTCACGATCTTTAGCCCCTTAAAGCGCGCTTACCGGAATCGGCTTAACCGCCTTCTTTCTATGGCTATTGACGACACCTCCGTTATTGGCAAGCGCGCTTTTCTCGAGTGTTATCATCAGGCCAGGTCTGTGGCTCTTACAGAGGCCAACGTCAAGGCTGGGTGGCGAGCAACCGGCCTATGGCCCCTTTCCATGGCCAAGCCCTTGATGAGCCGCCTTCTCCTTAAGAATACCAACGGTATAAGCGCCTCCAAACCCAACAAGGCGGCTCAGAAGGTTGCCGTTAAGATTTAGACCTTCGAAACACCAATTTTGGACTGTGGTAGTGAGAAGCAAGTAGTATGGTCAACCCCAAGGAAGGCAAAGGAGTGGTCGGAGCAATCCAGGAAATTTGCTACCACCATTAAGGCCACACCTACAGAGCGGTTGTTTCTCAGGAAGACCGGTAAGGCCCTGGATGAAAAAACCTTCGAATTGGCCGCCTGTAAGCGTAAGATTCAGGCCCTGGAGCAAGAGGTGGAAAGGCTACGGCGTACGAAGAAGAGGAAGGTCGAGGAAGATCCAAATACGACCTTCGCTAGTATCCGTACTATTTCTGACGCCCAGAGGCTAGTTGGTAGGGGGGTGGCTTTGGATTCGGATTCTTCAGAAGAAGAGGAATCTTCTGATATCGAAAGTTGTATTGAGGTCCTGTAAATAGTTGTGTTAGGCCTTGTTGAAATTGATGGTTGTGGTTGGGAGCAGTTTTGGTGGCCTGTGCAGGAACAGGGGGTGTGCAGGAACCCCCCCGTCTGACTTATAAGGAGTTTCGCTTTAGTGAGCACGCTCGTCCTGCTTACAACGTGTATTATTCTGTCGGTCTCTAAGTCGGTCGCTGTAAGCGGAGGTCTCCAAACGGTAGACGCTATGAATGCTTTTCTTGGTTAGTTCCATTACATAGATTTGTTCGCTAATGGCTGGTTAAGGACGCTGAGAAGCAAGTTATACAATTCTCTTAGTGTTGCGGATTTTTACGCTACGGTAAGCCCCTGTGTAACATAGGTTCCTTGAATAACACACTAATACAATACAGTTCATACACGACAACATCAGCCTCTCCGCCCACAGGCACGCCAGGAGAGCATGGCACCCCTATAGCGACAAGCGCCTCTTCGACAAGGAGGTCATCTCTAACAAGAGCGAGTGTTAAAACGTTACCCAGTTCTCAGCCGGCGAGATCCACCAGGCGTAGAAGACTAAAACTGTGCTAGAGTGTCCTAAGTACCCCCAGTGCTCGGAACCGTGCTTTTATCCTTAGGGAGCTGTAAAGCAGGTAGTTAGTCGTGCCCCTTTCTGTACCGACGCCCAGCGCCGTACGGACACCACGAAGCGGTGCCAGGCTGAGTACACATATGGCTACGTGTACTAGTCTACTGCTTTAGCAATAAAAAATAGTAACTTTTGGAATCATCACATAGCTGACGTCTGATAGCAGAATCTAAGTGTCATGCGTAGTGGTATTTGCAAAGGGCGTCGGAAAAGAGAGAAGGTACATTGCTCGACTAAAAAGGGTATATCGGATTCCGAGCAAAATTAAAAGCTTGACCCCGACCCGGTTTGAACGAATAACCTTTTAATCTGGAGTCGAATGCGCTACCATTGCGCCACGAGGCCCTTGACCGTTTTCCGCAGGGGGGAGTGGCTACGCCAACCGACAACCAGTTTGGAGAGCACCGGAGGTCTTGTGCTTCTTTGCGGGCTACTCGGTCTCATCCTGTACTGGTTGCGCGGTTCTGGTGAGAGATGATAAGCATCGTGTTGCACGTACTTCAGTGCCTTGCGCGGCAACTGGACAGAAGCTCCCGTCGATGTCCTTTACCATAGCATTACCCCAGCAACTTCCCCAGCTCACCTCACATTTCCCTTCTCCCTGATACCCTAACAGATGCCACCCCCTCCCTAACAATCACAGACACCCTCACCGTAAAACACGTCCTCCCCCTCTATCCAACATCTACACCCCTTTGTCCACCCAGTACAGCCTCCCCTCCCCCCCCTCATCCACAAGCGCTCCCATCCTCAGTACATCTCCATACGCCGCGGGCTGCGTACCTCTCGGTCTCCTCCTCGCCAGATATTCCACAACCCCCCCCCCCCAGCACCAGAAACACCACTGTCAACGTCACCATCGGCAACATCAACAGATATAAATTCATATTACACGCCACCCCAAAACCCATCAGCCACGGCACTGCTGCCTTGCTGAGAAAGATAAACCAGCCTTCCCACGTCTTTGCACCTTGAAAAAGGCAATTGATATGGGTGCAGTATCACTTTTTGATAGGGGTGCAGTATCACTATATTTTTGGGGCCGGGGTTAGGGTTATATATGGGGAGCCAGAATCCAAAAAATCCAGCCTTGGCAAAATTCTGAACGGACAAGACAGCCACCCCTCAAGCCAGCCATAACAGCCAAAACAGCGATTTCCACCAAAACCACCACAATCGCCAGAACAGCCAAGATAGCCGTGTCGCACCAGAGCAAGCGATCCAGTCGGATCAATTGAGCCTCGGCGCGCCCCTGCGCGCCGCCGCCCCCCTGTGAACGGTGTGTTCCAGCACCCTCCTGCAGCCACTTACCCCTACTAATTCAGGACACAGAATCAGCGAGCCACGGCGCTGCAAGGCCCCGTCGCAGCCACGGCTGCCCACTCCAAGCCGCCGAAGACGACGATTTCGCAGGGTTCTCTGACGACGAGGAGGATCCCCACCTTGAGGAGGATCATCACCATGAGGAGGATCATCACAACGACCTGCGCGCGCTCGGCGCCCCCAGCCACGAGATGATGCCTCACGAGAGGAGGCCGCCATCGAGGCGCCTGCGCCGGCTCCGAAGAGACGAGGCCGACCCCTAAATAACAAAGAGACCGCCGTATTGGAGCCGAAGCGCCAGCGCGCAACACCAAGCGGGGGCCGGCTACAGCCACTATTGGAGCGGGAATAGCCTCACAGAGCGCAATTGGTACACAGGTAGCAGTTGACGCAACTGGCCAGACAACAAAGTCTGGCAGGCAGTCAAGTTAATTAAGAAGGCGGCAGATACGCGGAGGGCTTGAGAGTGTAAGAGTCGGGGGGGGGCGTAGGCGTGTCTTTGAGATGGCGCGTGTGCATCTAATTTGTATATGTTTTGATAGGTATATAGATGTCTAAATCTTGCCTGTGGGACTGCGCCTGGATTGATCGTCTATTTTGCTGTGCAGTGTGGAAATCGCTGTCTTGGCTGGCTTAGTGTGGTTGTCTTCTCTGTTCAGAATTTGGATTTTGACCAAGTCAAAAGTCGAAAAAAAGGGGGGGGAGGCACCCATACATAACCCTAACCCTGTACCAAAAAAAAGGGATACTGCACCCCTATCAAAAAGTGATACTGCACCCATATCAATTGCCTTGAAAAATGAGGGAGCCGTCGACATCAGCCCCTTTCGTCGCAGCCTGTCGCCAAATCTTCTCGTCTCTTTGCATTTCCACCAGGAGCTCCGCAGCATGGAGTCCGAACAAGGGGATGGTTAGGACTGCACACTGAATGAGCAAGCCGATGTACTCGATGCGATTCGCGAACGGGTTTTCGTTGTAAATGTATTCGACTAGGCCAAAGAACTGGAATGTGTACCATGGTGTGTCGTGGCCCGAGTAGCTATGGACAAAGTACGGAGTTGTCGAGGGACCAAGAGAGCTGCGACTTGCGCCGGGGCGGGATGCAAGGATGGAGATGGTTATGGTGAATATGGCGAGCAGGAACGTGGTGGTATGGAGGAGGTTGGTGAGGGCTCGTGTTTGAGGACAGTAGGTGAGCGCTGATGGCTGGCGGAGCACTGGGGAGGTTGGTTTGGCTGAAGGGTCGGGCGGGGGCGGACGGTTAGTTAGGAGGAGTTCGATATCAGATTCGAAATGGACAAGGGAGTGAGAACTGGGTACGGGACTGAAGCGGGTCCTGGAGAGCGTCGTGCATGGTCCTGCACGCCTTTGCAGTGGCCATGGGATTGCCGTTCCAAGTTCCGACGTATGCTGAATCAAGAAGAGCCCAGGTCGAGATGATGGACTGAAGGAGTAGGCCTGCACCAAGCCCAATTAGGCCCCAGCCGTTGAAGTCGATGCCATTACGGTCCTGAATGCCGTCAATGTCGTAGTCGACTTGAAGGTCCCGCCCAGCTGAGAGGACGATGGCTGTCACAGAAACGGGAAAGGTTAAGATGGAAGTGCCACCATAGGCAAGCACGAGACCAATCGTTGCAAAAACATTCGCGAGCCATTTGTTTGGGCCGTTCCGTTTAGAGCTTGTGAAGAGACGCAAGTTGCTGTTGTAACGGAGACGTCCTTCATGCTAGAGCGCCTAGCGGAGAGTGGTTGAGTGAATCGAATCGAGGCAACCCGAGATAAGCGTAATGGAAAGTTGAATGATTAGCGGTAAAATGGCCATGGTAATCTCGTTGACCCTGTAGATGCGGTGACCGGCGGGGTATCTGCCGGCCTTCATCCAGAGGTACGGGGTCGGCCCAATGAAGATCATCTTTCACGCCAGATATTCCGGGACTTTGACATTCGGTAAAACAACGACGATGATTCCTGTTGCTAATGACGCGATGGAAACGCCCCAGGCGAGGACAAGTCCAACAATGGATAAGTTCCGTGTCCAAAGGTCTCTATTGAGCTTCATGGGCTCGTGGCTGTGTGTCATACTTGAACTCGACAGGTCAGTCTTGAGCTCGACGTCGCTCCTATTTTGATCATCCCGTAGGGTAGTCTCTTTGCTGGGGGTGCCCGGAAAAGTTGCTGAGGAGGTGCTGGGTCTGCCGTGAAAGGTATGCGAGTAGGCCAAGGGCCAGCTGGCTGGCAGCTGGCTTGACACTATCTCGACTGCCATGGAGCTTGGAGGAATCTTGAACCCTGCGGTCGTGACTGACTCTTGATTAATACCGAAATTCAAGATGTAGCAGCAGAGCTCGATGGAACTGGTGAAGTTAGTTGGTGGTAATTGGGAAAGGGTAGGAACGCGATCTGAAGAGAATGGCTTGGGCTGCTGAAAATATGTGATGCTTGAAAGTTCCCGGCTTTAAAGCGACATTGCAGCCAATGCAACGAGGCAGAATGATTCGAAAGCGTCATGTTTTACAGCAATGCCCATCTTGGCGGTGGGTATCGAGTGTCCCGAGGGAACTTGCTGCCCCGGTCACGGTGTTGTGGCTGGTGATGTCGTTTCAGAGACGCTTTTGAGGTGGTGTGAATTCTTGACCGACGGGCGAATCAGAGTCTCAATTGGAGACCGGGCATCCCGATTGAATGGTTTGACGGCCCTTCAACAAACTCATGGGCGCTGAATGAACATCTGTTGCCGCCAAGGCAACTCTCAGGCACCTGCAAGGCTGCGGATCGGGATCCAGTGATTGGCTGATTTTTCAAGCGCTCGTTCGGAATATGCCGCTGACACAGCGGCGTGCAAGGGGGAGGTTGTCGGCGACGCGACACTTGGGGACGATGGCAGCTGGATACCGACGAATGAGGTCGTCGTCTTCGGTTTGCTCGGTTGGTCTGCCGAGGAACGTCATTAAACACTTCGGTGAGAGAACGTCTGTAGCTAATGTCAAACATACAGGAAGAAAGAGAACAGCCTGGTTGTCTGCGATGAATCTGGGCACGCGAAATTCCCTTTTTCGTTCGTCGTCCTGAGCTGGGGTGAGCTGGGGTAAGCTGTGGCTCCCTTAATTCTTCCCTGAGCTAGAGTGATCCCAAACGCCGCCGCTGCACAGCCTTAGAGGCCCCTTTTTAGTCCCCCTCGGCTAAAGGTTCCTATCTATGGAAAGCAGATAACGCGTAACCTGTAAGGATAGCTCCCAGGTACCAACTCCAATTACAATGTATATGGGTACTAAGTGTTCATACGACTTGTCCCGGGAGTGTGACGACCTGCGGGTCGACACTTGGGCCGGTGCGGGCCGGGAGGAGCTGACGCGCGGAACGGTCATTGGGCCAGGGGTGTAAGACCCACAAGCCCCTGTAACCAATTAAGAGTTGCTCTGTCTTGGCAACGTGCTCTACGACAGAGCAAGGAAAACACCGCAGAGCAGTGCTCTGTCTTGGCAATACCAGAAGACAGTGCAAGGTACAAGTTACATCACTGCTAGCTAGTATAAGATACCATCGCGGTAGCACGATGGAGGGTGAGGATTTGGGTTCCTCACGCAAGTAATTCATTGTTCATTGTGTCCTACTGTTCAGACTCTCGTCCGTGCATTATAGCGACAGCGACCTACAGTGACTACCGCGGCTGTGAGGACTTGCTTCAACACAACAGTCTCCTGATCCTCCCAACCCTAGGGTACCTGACTTACGTTCCGACGTAACGCTTACACTGCGATCTTGTCTTAACCCTTCCGGGGTTCAGGTCGTAACACCACCTTACAGAAGGCCAGTGCTTTCTCAAGCGCGCTCCTGTCCAACCGATAATGGGGTATCCCCGGTCGGTAATTACTAATAAGGGGTAAGTCGGGGCAAAACCATGGCAGTATTGGTAGTAACGGCGCGAAAAGACGAGCAAACGAATATTATAATCCATTGTAGCCGAGACTATGTCCCGGATCTGCTTGTAAGACGGGCCCGCTGTAGATAGAATTTGTGTTATG